GTCTCTCTGTGTCAAATAAATAAATAAAAATCTTAAAAAAAAAAAGATTCTCTCTCTCTCTCAAAAAAAAATAAAATTCTCTCTCTCCCTCTCCATCTGCCCCTCCCTTCCTCTCTCTCTTTCTCTAGTTAAAAAAAAATTTTGCCATACACATCCACTAGATTGATTTTAAGATATGGCAGCTCAGTGTTTGGTTCCCCACTTTGGCCTTGTGCAAGTGTGATGACCAGAAGAGCTCGTTGGAGCTTGTCGTAGTAATATTTAAATGTGACTGCCGGAACATCCAGTTTTCAGACATGTAGGTGCGCCAGTTCAATATGTGTACTATTTCATCATTCAGCAGATGAGTTTCACTTATATTTTCTTGTGTTAATACTATGGGGCATAGAATTTTGAAGATAGCAATCAAGAGGTGGCATCTCTAGTATCTGTTCCTGTTTCTTGACTTTATTGTGGTTTGAGCTCTCAGTAATCACTGGCCTTTTGAACTTAGCTAGAAAAGAAAAGTAATGCTTCTTAACAGCTTCCATAATGATGTCTGTGTTGGTGTGCACATTAGGAGTAGTGAATTGTAGACTGTTAAAGATCATTATTTTAAAGCAACACAGGGGCGCCTAGGTGGCGCGATTGGTTAGGCAGCTGACTCTTGGTTTCAGCTTAGATGATGATGTCATGGTTGTGAGATCAAACCCCGCATTGGGCTCCACTCACAGTGGAGTCTGCTTGAGATTCTCTCTCCCACTCCTGCGTGTATATGCGCACGCTCTTGCTCTCTCTCTCTCTCTGTGTCTCCCAAAAAATATATAATAAATATGTCTTAAAGCAACACAGAATCACATTAAAGCCTTAGTAATTAAAAGTGAAAAGGATCGAAGGGCAGAAGAACTTCAAATTATGTAGTTCCAAATAATGTGTTAATTTGGTCAGAAGACTAATAGAGAGCTTCTTGTCTTGTAAATAAACCCTGTGGTACAGGGGTCAGGAAGGCACCCTCGGTTTAGGATAAGAACACTGCTTTAGGGGCGCCTGGGTGGCTCACTCGGTTGAGTGCCCAACTCTTGGTTTCGTCTCAGGTCTTGATCCCTGGGTCATGGGATCAGATCCCCATGTGGGACTCCACTCTGGATAAGGAGTCTGCTTGGGATTCTCTCCCTCTGTCTCTCCCCCAGCTTGTAAATGCTCTGTCTCTCTCTCATAAGTAAATCTTAAAAAAAGAAACAAAAAAACACTATTAAAACATCCATGTACTTGTTGGCCGGACTATGTGACTTTTAGCAAGTTATTCTGCCTTCTTGAGCCATCTCATTTTTCTTATTCATAAATGAGGACAGCAATTCTCATACCTACTTCCCTGGGTGCCTGCAAGATTTAATCATGTGTAAAAGGTACTTGGGAAAGCATTAAGTGCCATACATATTTGAAGTGTTCTTCTAAATATATTTATACATAACTCAACCCTTTGGGGATCAACACATAGCACAAAAGTCATAATTTAAGAGGAGGAAAAAAGTTGCTATGAGGCAAGGTACTGTCACCTCCTGTTTAAGAAATTCACAAATGCCTACCCTCAGTAGAGTTTTGGATGAAGATCTATGGAAGGTGATTAGAAACCATCTGGCTTAGGGGCGCTTGGGTGGCATAGTGGTTAAGCCTCCGACTCTTGGTTTCGGCTCAGGGTCCTGACAAGGATCCCCGTCTCGGGCTCTGTACTCACCGTGGAGTCTGCTTGGGATTCTCTCTCCGCCCCTCCCACTCATGTACACTCTCGTGCTCTCTCTCTCTCTTAAATAAATAAATTTATTTAAAAAATGAAACCATCAGATTTGTGTTTGTTTTTCTGTTGTTTTAATGTTTATTGCCTATTTGGAAATTTGATTCCCAAAGCTAGAGCAGAATAAGCAGTTTCGAGTATTGTGAATGGTGGGAAATGAGTTGAAAAAAATGTGGGTTTGTTTTATCTTCAGTATTAGTACTGAAAATAGATCCTTGGAGGAAGCCAAGGACAAGCATGATCAGACTAGCCAAGACCATACCTGGTTAGGTAAACTGGGCAGGCTGAGAAGGATAATAGCAGCCAAGATTTAGTGGGCACTGACCATGTGCCAGACGCTGTAATCAGTGCGTTACATTCATTAATTAATTTTATCCTCACAGTATTTCCTGAAGTAGATTTACCAACCTACTTCTCTTATTAAACTGTTATTCCCCCCCCATTTCCAGATGGGGAGAACTGAGACTCAAGAGGGTTGAATGGTTCGCCCACGATCTGATGGTCACGCTCTTCACCACTCTGTTGCCTGTAACCACTTTTGTGCTCTCAGTCCCACGCCCTAGAGACAGCACTGTGTCATGTGGTCGGAATTTGATCTCCCAAGTATGTATTCCTGTTGGATGGACTTTTTTCTCCTTAGCCTCTTAAATGACATTCCCTCTAAATCAACCGCACGTAAGCATGTGTGGAATGAATGAGTTTATCTAGTTCCACATCTCCCTCTGTGTAAGGTGACCTTTCAGTTTTAGTCCTCAAGTACAGTAAACACTTACCAACAACCTCGTTGCCTCTGCTCCCTACCCCCAGCCCTGCACAGTTAGAAGTGATTTCTTTCAGGATCTCTTTTTTGTTACTTTATTTATTTGTGTGTTTATTTCCTTATATATGTATATACACATGTGTACACATGTGCTTGATGTCAGCTCAGGTCATGATCTCAGAGCCTCAGGCTCCATGTTGGGCATGGAGCCTACTAAAGATTCTCTCTCCCTTTCCTTCTGCCCCTCCCCACTACCCGACCATCACCACCACCCCTGCCCCTACTCGCACATGCGAGCGAGCTCTCTCTCTCTCAAAAAAAAAAAAGAAAAGAAAAACAGTATTTAAGACCTCTGCGGATTGTCTTTTAAATCATGGTGGTGATACTGATCTGCTGAACTATGGGGCTGCTGTGAAGATTAATAAGCAAGTTAGCAAAGTATTATTCAGGGTCTCTTTATTACTATTATTACTTCCATTGATGGGTAGGTGTATGTGAAGTTAAAAGTATGAACTTTAACCCTCTATTTGTGGCAAAGTCTGGGAGACAGTGGCACTTTTTTTTTTTAATGTTTTGTTACATAAACATCTGCAGGATCCCTGGATTTAGGGGTAAATCAGACATGTCAGGATATAGAATGACTGCTAGGAAATCAGTAGGGGATCACCTCAGATAGCCAGAGTCCATTCTCCTGGGGCCTCTGAACACAGTACACTTACTGATTTCAGCAACTGCTTTTTCTTTGAGTTGGGATTTGGTATCATGAATATAAAACTTTAGTTGTGGGGCGCCTGGGTGGCTCAGTCGTTTAAGCATCTGCTTTCGGCTCAGGTCATAATCTCAGGATCCTGAGATCAAGCCCCACGTCGGGCTCCCTGCTCTGCGGGAGGCCTGCTTCTCCCTCTCCCACTCCCCCTGCTTGTGTTCCCTCTCTCACTATGTCTCTCTCTGTCAAATAAATAAATAAAATCTTTAAAAGA